TATTCTATATAACTAATTATCTATTTTCTTTTCCATTCTAGAAAATCTGTATATATAGAGCTGTAATATTCAATAAAATACATATCCAACAATTCTTAATAGGGTACTAACTCTGTCTGTGTCAACATCATGCATAATCGCACTGATAATTTCCTCACTACTGGTATCAACTTCATCATTCAAGGCATCACGCAGCTCTTCCATCTCTATATAACCACTCTGATTTTGATCAAAGAAAGCAAAAGCCTTATGCAGGTGTTCGTCGTTAGCCATCTTTTTGAGATGAACTGAAATAGCCACAAACTCTCCATAATTCAGACTCCCATCACCATCAGCATCAGCCTGCAGAAACCACATGTCAGCTACTTAGGAAGTAAGCAGCAAAAATCTCGTATCTGAAGTTTCCTTCTTTTATTTTTCATATTCCTTTGAAACTGGCTTTCCTGATTTCCTTGAATGTCACTTTTCTTAGCTAAGGAAAAGTAACAGATTGCTGACATTGAAATTCAAATTACTTCTGTTTCTTCTTTTTCAAATCTATTTAATTTAATTTTCACTAATTTTGCATTCCTTTCTTAGAAATGATGACCAAGTAACTGTAAATTTCAAATAGTAGAGGCCAAAATAAAAAAAAGGTCCATGACAATCTTATTATCTTTAAATGACACAAGGGGTCAATAGCAAGATGGCACAAAATTGTGCTTACAGCTTCCATTAGGATTTGAAGATCTGCATCAGGGATTTGTTGGCCAAGCTTTTGCAGCCCAATCCTCAGTTCATCAATGTTTATCTTGCCTCTTTTGCAAGTGTCCATCATTGCAAATGCCTCCTTTATGCCAGCCACTTCCTCTACAGACAAGTGCTCGGCTATCACCTGAGAAATAAAGAAACTTAAGCTTCCATTGCTTGGAAACGGAAAATAAAGCATGTCATTGACACTAGTAGCCCCTATAAATGGAAATGTTATTTAAACAAATTCAAAAAATCATTACCCTGAGAGCTCTTTTCTTCAACTTGTTCATAACAGAAAACTGTTTTAGCCTTGCTTTCACAGTCTCCCCAAGTGGAACGTTTGGAGCCTTCTTGATATTCTGTAACCAAGGATGTTCTGCACATAAAACGTGTAAAAATCATATGGAACCGAGAGGTCTCAAGATAAAAGGACATTCTAGTTACTAAAGTGGAAAATTACCAAGTACTTCTTGAGCAATAAGACGTCGCTTTGGGTCAGGATTAAGCATTTTCTTCACAAGGTCCTTTGCAGCATCAGAAACTTTGGGCCAAGGGTCCCTCTTAAAATCAATCACTGAGCGAATGATTGCCTGAGCCACCCCTTGCTCAGTTTCTTCACCACAAAACAAAAAAAAAAAAAACACATTAATAAGCATTGGAAGAGGAAAATCTGTAGAATATGAAAAACATAGGGAAAACTTCTCAAAATTTCAACCATATCAGATTGAGATCAAGCCAAAAATATCTAAATGGGATGAACAGATCTTTTGTCTATAGACATTCAAATCAAACACCAGATCTACATCACTATTAAACTTCAGCGCCAAGTAAATTGCATGAATCAGAATAGGTGAACAAACCTGCCCAGAAAGGTGGAACACCACAAAGTAAGATATATAAGATAACTCCAGCACTCCAGACATCAACCTCTGGCCCATAATTGCGTTTGAGAACCTCTGGAGCCATGTAATAAGGACTTCCCACTATCTCATTAAATCTCTCACCTATAGGAATAACAGTTTTCAGTCCAGCATGTTGAAAAATAGTAATATATTAAGTAGGGGAAAAGGTGGGGAAACAAAAACAATAACAACAAAGAGAAAGTTGCAAAAATGGATTTATGTTTGCAACGGCTGTAATTGAGTGAAGGTACCAGGTTTAAAGAAGACTGACAGCCCGAAATCTATTGCCTTCAAGGCAGCTGCTTCCTTCTTGTTTGCAAAGAGAAAGTTCTCTGGTTTGAGATCCCGATGCATGACTCCTTGCCTGTGGCACATCTGCAATACCACGCAATAAAACACCCAGATTATTTTAGAAGAACAACTTTAACCTAAATAAGAAGAGTAATATCTCAAAGGACCAAAAACTAGGGTCAGAATTTTTTTGTTGCACAAAAAGAGTGGGAGGAAAAAAGAGTGACAACATGATCCAGTAAAAAAATAGGAGAATGAGCTTATGGTACCATAAAAAGTAGTAAGTAAGAAAGCAATGAAAAAGGTTTTGGAGAAAAAGTGCATCAATTAAAGTGAAAACTGTGATGGATAATCTTATTAAGGAAATAAATAGCAACTTCGGCATTAGAAAGATTGCAAAGAAGTTGGATGTATTCACTAGCTTCTTGGCGAGGATTAGAGGAGACTCACAAATCCTACTTGATCAAATGAGTATTTAAATCAACCACTTCGTGAAGGAGGGATAAGACCTAATGATTGAAAAGAGAGTTATGGAGGAAGGTTTTGATAGAATTATTTGATTTAAGTGTTCAAATGATTATGAAAAGAGCGCAAATGGAGGAAGATCTGATTAAACACAAGTGAAACTGATGCCAGTAAATAATTTTAATGCACAAGTTCACGTTCCTAAAAACAGTTTAACCTACAACAAGAAGATTATCAGTGAACAGCAGACGCTCATTAGAATATGTATGATAGCATGAGGCATGCATCTAAAATACAATAAGAAATCATGAGATGCAAACCTATGCTAACTTAGGCAAAGAAATCACTGAAAACTCAACCTGTACAACTTCTACAATTGTCCGCATAACCCCTGCTGCTGCTCGTTCAGTGTAATGCCCTCGTGCAACAATTCTGTCAAACAGTTCACCTCCCTCACACAATTCCATTACAATGTGAACAGCACCATCATCCTCATAAGTGTTTTTTAGTGAAACCACATTTGGGTGTCTAGGAAGATGCTTCATTATCTCCACTTCCCTCCTCACATCGTCTATATCCACTGCAGTTCTAAGCTTCGTCTTCGAGATTGATTTACAGGCGTACTTCTCACCTGTGTTCACATCAGTGCACAAATATGTAACACCAAATTCACCACGCCCCAGCTCACGACCCAGATCATACTGGACAGATAAATCACGACCAGTAGGATCCTTCAGGACACACAGCTTGTTTGCAGCTCCAGATCCATTTGATACAGCATAATGATCAACATAAAATGGATTGGGTTTGTTCTTGTGTTTCCCTTTTGTCTTCTCAGATGAAGAACTAGGGGTTGCACAACAATTTCCCATGAATCACAGCCTCAGATCTTCAAAAATTCTTAAATTGCCTGGAATTTCAACAAACCAACATAAGCAAATTTCATATAATAATGATACAATGAACTAATTCCTTTCGAAGAAACCGAGGGTTTTTCCCCCCACTGAAGAAAAACCCAGGAAACACAGAGGACTTTGAAATTTGAGAATATAAAGCCAGGTTTTCGAGGACCCAGAAACGAAAATGAACAGAAAATTCTTCTCAATGTACCAACTTACAGAAGAGAAATGCACATTACTGCCACAGATATATTAAGAAAAGAAACATCAATGGGTTCACCAACCATACGGAAAGCAGACAAATAGACCTAAAATAGAAACTTTTCCCAACAACCCATGGCTGCCCGAAAGAATTTCTTAAAGAAAAACAAAAAAAAAGGAGACAAAGCTGAAAAATACTAGAAAAACCCAGGAAAACGAATTAGGACAGACCTGGAATTTTCGGACTTCTTGGAACTAAGGTTCCCAGATAAGGGATTTGAAGGGAAAAGAAAATTTTAGTGGCGAAAAAGGGGAGAGGAGGATTCAGCGTTTCAGGTCAGAGAGAAGTAGACGAGAATGTGAAACGATGAATTCAATGTGTGAAACTGCGTAGAATAACGGAAGAGAAAGAGAAGTTTTTTTTTTTTTTTTTTCTTTTTTTGTGGTTGTCTTTGGGCAGACTTATGTGTATCTGAAACTTCTCTTCCTCCCTTAAAAAGTAAAATGGATTCAATTTTCTCCCTCTAACATAATTCAACGATTGGATACAGACAGAAGAAACGAACAGCCATCTATCTCCTCTTCGCTTTCCTTAATTGTCTTTTTTTTTTTTTTTTTTCTTCTTTACAATTTTTTATTCCCAGAATATCCGAAAAGAAAACACCCAATTTTTTTTTCCAGAAAATTACTAAAAATAAAAAAGAAATTACAAAAAATCTGATTGATTTCCCCTTCCCCCCTTCCCTTTTTCGGAGCTTCGGATGTTTACATTTATCTAAAAAAAATTTCTTTTAAAACATAAGAAAAATAATTACAAACTATTTTTTATAGGCATCTTTTAATAACCAGTCAAGAAATTCTGTACTAGTTTGAAGTTGAAATTTCATTTCAAAATAA